CAGAGAGAGAAAGAGAAACATCATTTCAATTTTTTATTTCTTATCATTATTATTTTCATATTATTATAATTATTTGAAAATTTCAGTAATTTAAAATGAACTATATACACACACAATCACACACACGCATATATATATATATAGATAGATAGAGAGAGAGAGGGAAATACAGACGATAAATCATAATCTATATTATGATCTGTCAATATTATCATAGATCTTTAATTATCATTTACAAAGTGAAATAATTGAAAAAATAAAACAATTAAACATTATAAGATAATTTTAAACGTTTACTGATTAAAGGGAAATAAACAGAAAAAAAAAAAAAAAGTAAAAAAAGTTTTTTTTTTCTTTTCTTTTCTTTTCTCTCGTTCTTTCTTTCATTTAAACGAACTTTAAAAGAACACTTTATTCTTGTATTATTCGGATATATATACATATTAAATTTAATCGAACAAACAAGTAAAATCAGAAATTGTTCAGTAATAAAAGAACGGAGAGAAGATAGAATGTGATCGATATACCGATATTTGTTTCCTCGAACGAGAAGTCGTGCCATGTTACGCTGGTCTATTCACTACGAAACAAAACTCAATTATCGGATAAAAGTCGCTCGAGTAGTTGCGCGTTACGGAAAATTGAAAACTCACCGTCGCGTATCAATGACCGCCAGTTTATAACGTTTCTCGCGCTACTGAATTTCTCGATTTATATATATATATATATATATATATATATATATATATATATATGCAAGTATATATTTCATTTAACATATCAATCTTCTCATCGTTTCTTTATCATTTATTTATATAAATTATTAAAAATTTATTTATTTTAATAATTTATATAAATAAAAGATAAATCATTAAAAATTTATTTGTTTTAATAATTTATATAAATTATTAAAAATTGCACTCTCAGTCGTGTAAAAAAAAAAAAGGAAAAGGAAAGAAAAAGAAAAGAAAAGAAAAGGAAAAGAAAAAAGAAATGATATTATCGTAATTTACGAGAAATAATCTTTCTCGAAAATTTAATGATCACTATTATTTCACATTTATGTATTCATATACAAAATTAATTATATCATTTGCTTATGAAATTATTAAAAACAATAGACGAGAGATGATGGAAGATCGATTTATTCTAATATAAAATATTTCGTCACGTGTCGTTCTATAATATTCAATTAACGAAATCGATAGAACACACACAAAAAAAAAAAAAGAAAAAAAACAAGAAGAAAGAAATAGAACGATGAGATTGAATTTTACAAAATTTTGAGGAGTCGAAAAGGAAGAAAAGAAATAAAGGAAAGGGGGAAAAAAAAGAAGAGAAGAAGGAAAAAAAATATAGATAACTCTGTATGGGTAAAATCTCTGTATATATATATATATATATATATATATATATATATATATATATATATATATATGTATCTAGCATACTTAATTATCTTTGTTACGTTCGCTCGGATCGTATAAATCCAGGAACAAGAAAGGTGATGGTGATAGGAGTTTCTAAGGATCGTAGAAGTAATAGGTGTATGGTTAAATGGAAGTCACACCTCGCGTGAGAGAAAGAACAGAGAAAAGAGGAGGATGTTGTACCTCCTTTGGGAGGAAGTAACACCTACCGTAATTTCCTGGTCGCTAAGGTATGTGAGGATAAAACAGAAGAAGATACGATAGGATATAGTGTTTTCTTTGGCTTTTTACGTAACACCATCTATCCCGTTTCCTTCCCTGAGATGACGGTGACCTCGTTTGTTTTTACGATCAATTAGCTTCCATTTAAAATATCCCGCCAAATTATTTCTTTTCTTCGTAATGAAGGAAGACAAAATATCGGAGATAACAACAAATTATAAAAAGAGAGAGAAAGAGAGAGAGAGAGAGAGAGAAGGAGAAGGGGAAGGAGGCATCTATCATCTAACTATTTTTTGATATTTGATATGAACTTTAATTATTCCTAATCTGATTTTCCTAACTTGCCAGTTTATGTACTGTCTAAACAGTTTCGTGATATATAGGATGTATCTGGGACAAACGTAATACCAGCAAATTTTCTATCCTTGAAATAAAATAAACTACGATGAAATTTATAACAAAATAAAGTTTTCCCCTCGTTGATCACTATAACATCGATATCACATAGCATTAATATCGGATCATGATAATTTATGAATTTAACGTAATCGACGAAGTCGAATCTGTTTCTTTCTCTTTCTTTTTTTTTTTTCTTCTTTCTTCTTTTTTTATCGATCAATATTTTAACATTGAAAGGAAGAAAATATTAAATGTTTATCATACATAATTGAATTCTTTGCAATTATTTTTGTGTATCTCTCTCCTGTACCTTTTATTATTTCTTTAATGTCATTATTTCGAAAATAGAATGTCACCATCACTAATAAAAAAGAAAAAAAAAAAAAAAAAAAAAAGAAGAAGAAAAATATATGAATAATTTTTAACCATAATGGACTATCATTTTTCAGGAGTCGCAGGACGATGCAAAAGCGAGATTACCGGAGTTCCTGTCGGAATTGGATCTGGCAAGTCTCGAGGCATCCGAGGAAGACGTCGAGGCATTGAAAAAGATTGCCAAGAGATTGGCACCAGAGAAGAATGGCGAGTACCAAGTCTATCAAGGTTTCAACGTCATCCCTTTAACATCCTGATTAACAAATCTCAACGCGTGTCTCATTGTTACTTACACTAAAACGCATTTCTTTTCCCAGTCTTCTTTGGGAACGAGGATCTTCTTAAGGAGTGGCTCAAAGGAGCGGGTATTTCGAAGAATGCAAACTTTCTTCCCGTGTAGCATGTTTACCTTTAACTTTTCATAGTAATTAAATGTATCCTATTCCATATCCGCAGACTAATTCTCTTCGTTCGATTCCCTTTTCGTAGAATCTATATTTAGTAGCAAAAGACTCGAATCAAACAATATAAGAATAAATATTGACTTTGGCATGTCTTATATAGGTGTATCTGGACAACCGGGCGTTGATTTTCCAACCTTCACGACGATCCCAGCAACTTCCTTCAGTTGTCGCGGATTGAAAGGTGGTTACTATGCTGATTTGGAAACGAATTGTCAAGTACGTTGCATGTGTCACTTAAGTATTTCATGCTTATTTGTGACCAACGATGTTTTTTTTCTTTTATTTATTCTTTCCTTTCCTTTTTTTTTTTTTGACGTTTTTGTTTCTGTTTTTTTTTTTTTTTTTTTTTTTTTTTTTTTTTTTTAATTCGATTACTATCTCAGAACGAAAAGATTATAAATTAACAATGATCCAACGTTCTTTCAGGTCTTTCACATCTGTGACAATGGACGTAAGATATCGTTTCTTTGCCCGAACGGTACCATCTTCCAGCAATCCCAATTGATTTGCGATTGGTGGTTCAAAGTCGATTGCAGTAAGTCGACGGAACTCTATGAGCAGAGTGCCGAACAGCTAGCCGAGGAAGAGAGAAAACGTACAGAGGAAAAGAAAATGAAATCCGAGTTTCATCGTACCGTTGATCACGACGAACTCGATTATCATCAAGGTCAGGACAACTACGATGGCAGACAAAACGGTAGAACGAATCCGTTTGGTCAATCCGCGAGACCCAATCAAATTCAAGACAACACCGATGGTTTTAAATCTCAATTCAAACAGAGTAACGTTTTCGATCAAACAAATGGAAGATCCGGCAATCAATTTGTACAGAACTCCAATTCTAATGGTTTTCAAAGTAACGAACAAGATCTGGAGGAGAATTTCAATCCAAAATCCAAACAAGGACCAACCTTTAATTATCGAACGATAAATAGACAACAAAATCAACTGGTAGATACTCAAAATGGTAAATACAATCAATATAATCCAAGCTACGAGGAGAAATTTCAAGAGGGTACTCAAGGCAATCAAGATCAGTCTAACAATTCCCAAGATTATTATGGATCAGCTGGTACACAAAACGTAGCTTTACGTAACGAGAGACCTATCGGTAGGAATACGAAAACGAGAACGAATTATGCTCGAAATTTAAATAATTTGAATTCGCCAACTCAAAAGGCTACGCCAGCATACATGGAAACGACGACATTTAGAACGACTACTTCGAGTCCTGTAAAAGAATATCAACAGTTTGCCGAAAGTGCAGCTTTCGTATCTAATCGTGGTAATTATTATAACAACAATGCCGCCAATCGTCAATATTATTATCAATCTTACAACAATCAAGAATCAACGACGAGAGATTCAACAACAACGACGAAAGAAAAAACTAGTTCGCCTGTGATCAGGACTAGATTTAGTATACCACCATTCCCTGGTCCAACGTTCACGCCAATTTACAAACCACGAACTACCACCGTACAGAGTCACGAGACAACATTACAATATACTACAACAACCGAAAAGACTTTGGATAGTACGGATTACTACAGACAGCCTTATACAACGGAAACATCATATGGTTTTGGCGGTGTCGTTGAAACTGTTGCCACAACTAATCGCCCAGAAACTGAGGATTATCAGACCAGTACGGAATCCATTTCCACGGCAGCGTTAAATGGAAATTATCATGAAAACTCGGAAATACAAGCGGCTTATCGTACCGACCTAGATACGAGTAATCCCAATCGAGAGACGTATTCGAATTATTATCGAAATAATAATGAATATAATAGGAATAAGATGATTGAGGACGATCAAGAGACGACGAGTTATACCACTACGAGATCTAACGTTAATACAGAAAATTATCGTGATTATACCGAAGACGTAGGAACGACGGCAGCTTCTATCGATTATTCAAACGACATTCTCGATAGACAAAAGTCGACGGGTTCGGAGACAGAGACGAAGATTGACGCTAAGGAAGCTACGAGAAATTTACCGAGTTACCGTGCTAACTCGATAAACCTGTCGACGGAAAAACCATCGAGGAGTACTCAGCAATATTCGACAACCGGAAAGACCTTGAGTCCTTACGACACCAGTTTTACGTACAAACAGGGCAAAGTAATGTCAACGTTAGGTCCTTACATACCGTTCACGAAGAATTACATTCATTCGAGTACTTCGACTCCTACAACAATTACGACCGCTAAACCACCTGTATATACAGCCACAGTACCTAGTTTTACTTCTACCGTATCTAATTATCGGAATTCTAAGAACCTGGTATCAAAGTCTAAACAATATTTCTCTTCGTCGTCGACTAATAAATTAAAAGGTAGTAGTAGTTCGAGTTCGAGTTCGAGTTATCTACCAGAATCACGAAGCACTTTAAGAATTGGCTCGGCTTTAGAGAATAGGCCCGCCAACGAGAGAGAACACGTACTCGATATGTTACATTCTCTTCAAGGTTTAGAAAACGACGTAAACACGTCCGTTAATTCTCGTACGAGTTTATCGACAGCCTCCGGGCCATCTACTTTACATTCACTCGCTCTTTACTTTGCCACTGCCAGCGAAAACTTTGCGTCGAGAGAATCGACAGAGTCAAATACCGATCGTCCAGAAGAAACTGTGGAAACGTCGACGGAGAAAAGGGATGAGTCCACGGTGGAACTACCAAAGAGTATACTTACCCAACAGACGGTCGAATCCTATGCTGAATTATTTAAACTTAACAACGCTCTTGAGATCAACGATACGAGGATAGAGGATTCCAACGAGTTTGAGAATTCCAATGACGATTTGGATCTTCAACAGAGCGAGGGTCCAGTAAACGGAGCAAATAAAACGGATGGAACGAAGCTTCGTGAGCTTGCACAAGTATTCACACATGCTTTATCCGCCTACTTGCAAGATCCCGACACGTTCAAGAAGGTACTCACTGATATAAGGCCAACCGATCCAAACTGGACTACCGAAAGCGATCAGAGTGAAACCACTACTTCTTATCCGACCACAGTAACCGAAGAATTTCCATCGGTTACCAAGGAGAAAGACGAGGTATTGGATTTCTCGGAGGATGTGAATGGAACGAGAAGACGAAAGCCAACAAGCGTGTATCCGAGCGTCTATCAAGCACCTTCCATCGCGATTACGAGTAGCACCTATAAGCCTTATTTGTCTCAACGTGACTATTATGGTTCAACCTTACCACCTGTTCAGGCTGCACGTCGTGACTTTTATACGACTGGATTCCCTGAAACATATCGTCGCGATGTTTATAAATCAACTTTGTCGTCTGCTAGATCGATCGGCAGTGTTTCTCAATCGACCATTAATACAGTTCGATCTTTCGAAGACAATGGTTATCAAACGACAACATGGTTACCTCCTAAAACGCAAAACAGTTATTACACGACAACGATAGCTCCTACGGAGGATACATTAGATCAAACTACAACTTCCTCCTTGAACGATCTATCCAATAATAATGATTATTATGAATCTTCGACCTTGCCGGCTGACAACAACTTTGCCTACGTAGTAAACAATGCGTTCAATATCGGCAATGATAATCGTATACCAGTCAGTAGTGTCGAAACAAGCGAACATAGCGGATCGTCTAAAGACGATTATTTCCCAGTGGAATATAAATCCGGAGAAAATCAATACGATGATACTTCTAATGGAACCATTAACAGATCAGATCCTTATGGCAAACATGTGAAACCTCTTGGTATTACGCCGATACATAAGAATTATGTACCTTCCTCGACGCCAGCTTATTATCTACAATACGCACAAGATTCGCGTTTAGGTAACAAATCAGAGAGATTTGGTACGCCTCATTATTTCAAGCCAGAAGATAACAATAACGACGATGGATCACGGGTTGCTGAAGTATCGAATAGTATAATATCCAGCTCTACTACGTCGATACCGCCAAAAAGGATCAGCAATAATCCATTCAGAATACGTTATTACGATTCAAGAATCCCGGATGAGTCTCTTGTAACAGCTCGTAGTTCCTATCAGAATTTTAGAACTAGTCAGAATCGTGTCGAGGGTAACATCAAGCAAACGGATAAAACGACAGAGAGGTCAGTGACGATGACATCGATATCGTCATCGAACATTGGACTAGATCCGATAACGACTACGGTGATAGACTTTGATGACTCTTCTCACGTTACTACGGTCACTCGAAATGCTTCGAACAATAATTCGATTCAAAACAATACGGCTTCGAATATATTGAGCAATGATCATTGGACGTCCTCGCCTATGGTAACTCAACTCTGGGAAAGTACTATTTTCATCGATCCTAAACGTATAAATCATGGTTTAGAGGATGATCCTTCCTCGAAGGAAATTACTTCGAACGAATCATTTTCAACTTTGAAACCAACACGTAGTAGTACATTGGATTCTCTTAAGAACAAGATTTTTAACATAAATACCTACGATGATGCTACGAAATCATCGATTACGAGCGAGGATATATCAACGCCTTGGCAATGGACACATAACAATGATGACTCACCTACTACGTTTACTTTATTACCAAGTGTATTCACAGGTGAGAACACGGCTACCCCTACACCGATTTATACTACACGTTCCAGTATAACAACAACAATAACGTCTTCTGTAACATCGACCAACACCATACCCAAAGACAATGCTTTGGTTTCCTTGTTACCATACGCTACTACAACTTCGAGTGCTTCGAACACGAGTGACAACGAGGTTGTCAAGGCTAAGAGGATCTTTGGCAAACTTAACGAGAGCAGTTCGGATACCTTGATGAAAGTGATGAAACAAGCTGACACCAATGAAACCGTTAGACAATTAGTCCTATTGTTGATTAATCATTGTAACGGACCAATGAACAAAACAATGGAGGAAGAGAAGGAACAATTGTTAAATGCACTTTTAAGGATGCCAGTTAACAGATTCTCCACAGAGGAGTCACGTGAAATAGTAGCTGGTATCAACAAATTGACATTACCGATCGGTAGACGATCATCTTCGAGATCGAACGAACCAGATTCTAGGATGTCATCGACGACACCTAGATCTTCCGAACCTTCGATCACGACATTCCGTAGTAAACAAGGTAGAAAATTTCGTACAACCACGGATAATCCGTCAGTCTTCTCAAGAAGATCGGATGATCCTGATACGGAAGAAACGATTGACTCGTTATCGGAAACATCAGTGTCCGATAACAGAGCATTAGATCTTTTACGATCTCTTTATTCGGTCGCTGCTAAATGGGGTTGAAATTCTAAAGGTAATACATTCGAAAGAATTTTCGATAAAACAGAGGACGCTCGTGCGTTAAAACCATGAACGTTCCTAATTATTATTATTATTATCTTTCTTTTTTTGTTTTCTTTTTTTCGACGAAGTAGGATTAATTATTTACGAAAGAAAAGAAAAATGACAAAATAAAAAGAGAAAAAAGAAAAACTAAGCGGGACATTTGACTGCTCCGAAAGAGGAAAGCAAAGAAATGAAAAGAAAAAAAAAAAAGGAATAAAACAAAGAAGAAGAGCAATTATGAACGAGAACTGTTTTGCTAAAATGCCGATAGACAAGTAGCAGTTCGATCGATAGTTATTATTTATAGTTTCGTTATATAGAAAATAAGAATATACGATCTTTTAACATTCCGCATTATGCGATTGATCGGATTAACGTCCCGATAAAACGATATATTAGATGTTACAAGTCTCGGTTTAAAGCCATTCAAGATAATCGATTTATTCAATTTTGGTTAATGTCTGACAGTCACGATAATGGAGGTCGTTGAACTTATCTACCAGTTTCATTCGTTTCGAATTTTAAACGATTCTCTTTTTTTCTAGGGAATTTTTTTCTAGGGAATATTATATATATATATATATATATATATATATATATATATATATGTATATATGTGTATATATACATATATACATATTTATACAGAAATTGAGAGATGAATAGAGAGAGATCACTTGCAATTGCTAGTTAAAAAGACAATGTCGATTAAAGATAGAACGTAAGTTTATATTAAAATGCATAGATAGTAGCTCGTAGGGACATTTTATCGTTGAAATTTGTTCAGAAAATTTAAATTTCTCTAATAGACTTTCAAAGAAGGGATCCACGACCATATTAATGTCTTCTTCTGTGTAAATCTATATTTAACGCGTATTACTAATAAATTTCTAAAATACTATGATATAATATTATAAGAAATTTTCGATCAAAAGATATGGCAGATTTGATCACTTTGCAAGATAGTAAAAGAGAAATATAAAAAAAAAAAAAATAAAAAAGAGAGAAAAAGGAGAGGAAAAAAAATAATTTTCTTTTTCCTTCACGATTTGTGTCTCTCTCTCGTTATTGCGACCGTCCAAAAAGGAACGATCTTCAAGTGTTAGTTATATGATCGTACATATATATATATATATATATATATATATATATGTATGTATATATATATATATATATCTATGTACGTATTACATACCTACATACCTACATATATAGAATACGATTCTGAACGAACGATGCTTCGTTTTATGATCATAAGGAAACCTAGCAAACGGTAAATCATCAACGATCTTCCTTATTTGATGGTAATCGCTTTCGTAAAATATTATATCCCTAGGATGATTTATGTTTTACGATAGAAATTACATACATGTCTGTATGTGTGTATATGTGTGTGCGCGCGAGCGAATGTGTGAGTGTGTGTGTGTGTGTCTTGCGTTCTCCATTACGTTTGCACGTGAATCTATCCAAAAGAATTCCCACGCTTGAGAAAGAGATGACGCGTGTTGAAAATCTTTTCGAAAAAAAAAAAAAAAAAAAAGTCGAGAACGCTGACCAAAAATAAAGAGTATCGAGAATTTAAAAAAAAAAGAAAAAAAAAAGAGAGAAAAAATAAATCACCTTTATCATTTAAAATTTTAATATCAGGTCGGATTGGATCGATTATATCGGATTCGAGCGTTCACATGTATTTACTCGTTTTTTTTATACGATCCAATATGCGATTTCGTGTTTAACAAAGAATTATTCTAATTCATTGGATCAATACATATATAGCAACGTTTTACATTATCCTAATGAATGACATATTATATATATATGTATGTATGTATGTATGTATATATATATATATATATATATATATATATATACATAAACATGTGTGTTATTTATTCCATACAATTTAGTAAATCGTTAAACGTACGAATCGAATAATCTATATTTTATGATTCTGGTGTCGGTGAATCCCTTCCTTTTGTTTGGGTATTTCGGATATAATAATAATAACAATAATAATAATAATAATAATAATAATAATAATAATAATAATAATAATAATAATAATAATAATAATGATGATAATAAGAATAATAATAATAATAGTAATAATATTATTATTACAATATTCATAATAAAATGATATATATGCGTACATATATATATATATACATATATATATATATATATATATATATATATATATATATATATATCATATACTACAATCCGAAAATATCCAAACGCAATAAACAATATATGATTATAAATATTCAGTACAAGTACCCGAATACATAGCGTTTAGATATAATATGAGATTTTCTGTAAAATATGCTTGTACAGAATATGTGAATAAAAGAAATTCAGGATTTTGTTAATATGATCGATTCAAGATAAATACAGAACATACGTCGTAATATTATTTCTTCGGAGAGAAAAGAAAAAAAGACAAGAAAAAAATATTACGAATTTGTTTCTTTTTTTTTTCTTTCTTTCTTTCTTTCTTTCTTTCTTTCTTTTTTGTTTTACGACGTAACGTTACACAATTAAGAAAAAAAAAAAAAAAAAAAAAAAATAATAATTCACAAGATGAATTTTTAGCCGACGATGAGAGACATGATTAAAGTTTCATATAAAAAAAGAAAAAAATATGAACGAATGATTATTATAATAATATTCAAACCTTCGAAATAAAATTCGTATTATTATATACAACAAATAAATGCTTTATGATCGACATTTTCTCTATAATTTTAGAAAAAATAAAAAGAGAGAGAGAAATATTGAAAATACGTGTCAATTCGATTGAAATCGAGGATCATCACGATTTTGAAAGATTTCCTTCAATCGTGAATTATGTTTCGTAATCTGTTCGTCTGGACCCGATGGATATCAATCAGCGAGGACGCATCGTGCAGCACGGCGGCCAAGCAAGCATAAGTCGAAATATGTACTGAAAAGACAACACAAGAGACGTTAGATAGTCTTCCTTCGTAGGAAATCCGAAGGGGGTCAAAGATCATCGGTGAGAGAAGCCTAATTAATATTCCTTAAGTACGTGAGCTTGTTGTCCGTTCCGCTGTAAGATCTTGAAGAAGGTAGGTATCCAAGCGATAAAGGAGAAGAAGAAGGCCTTGCAAAATCATTTTCCTTTGGACGATCTTGAGATCGTCTTTACTTGTCTATCGCGCAATCTCAACCGATTGCCATTGCTTTATGATGAATGCGATCGTTTACTACCTTCAAATCCCACTACAACCGGGTTAAAGCTAAAGGCTATCACGATGAAATGTACATCACATTGAAAGGTACATGAATTAGAATTAGTCATATATATATAGATAGGTAGGTAGATAGATAGATAGATAGATAGATAGATAGATAGATAGATAGATAGATAGATAGATAGATATATATATATAATGTGTAACCTAATAGAGACAATTTATAATAGGTATTACGTAATTGCTTTTGTCATAATTTGAGTATAAGGACATTTTAAATGGCAGGGTAACTAAATATGATTGATTGGATATTTCTTTTTTTTTCCTTCTCTCTTTTTCTTTTTTTTTTCTTTTTTCTTTTTTTAATTTAATCATAGGTTAACAACCTATTTGAGATATTCGAACGATGATCGTTTTTAAATATATATCTTATGAAAATTTTGTACGTTTCTCTTTATAATTCTTTAATACAATAGTATTAATTATTTAATAATTGTATAATATAAAGATAAAATTGAAATGTTGATTTTTGTTAATATATTATATCAATATATAATATTTTGTTATATCAATATATATTATATCAATATATATATATATATATATATATATATATATATAAATTTTTCATTTGCTCACACAAAATTATAATTAAATATTAGTATATATATATATATATATATATATATATATATCTTGATATTACTATTATTATCTTATTATAAAGATAATAAAAAAAGAAAAAATTACACGCACACATATGTATATATATATATATATATATATGCATCGTAGATTTCTAAATCGAATTTTAAAAATGAGAAAAATTACGCAAAGTATCAATGTAAGTACTAACGTATATACGTAAGAAAGAAATTGCTTAATCGTTGAAAGAAAAGCGAGAAAGAGAAAGAGAGAGCGAGAGGGAGAGAGAGAGAGAGAGAGAGAGAGAAGTGTTTCTTTAATAATAATTATCGAGTTAGTTCTCGTGCTTGTAAGAATAAGTAGGATTCGTTAAAACGTTCGCTAATTAGCAACGGCTCTCGAAATCGGATCTCTTTCTTTCTGTTCCCGATAAGATTCAAGGTATCCCGTTGAGTATATCCTCGTTCCTCCGTTGCGAATCGGACAGACGGACGTCCGGAAAGAATACTAGTAGAGCTCTCGACCTTTCGACCGAACGCACACTGTATTTAAATTAGCCCCTTGCGTTCTGTATATCTCTCGTCTTTCAAGATTATAAAGAAAGAGAAGGAAGAAGAATAAGAAAGAAAGAAAGAAAGAAAGAAAGAAAGAAAGGAAGAAAGAAAGAAAGAAAGAAAGAGAATCGTTGCGATTGCACAATTAAGAGAAAAGTGAGTAGTTAACTCGATCGAGAGTGTTTGATAAGAAATTGTAAGAAATTTCAACTACACTTTATATCGATTCGTTTATCTTTTAGTATATAAAGAATGAATCAAATTGATTGATCATATGATATCGAGACTCTTTTGAGATTGATTTCTTTTCTTCTTCCTTCTTCTTTTTTTTCTTTTTTTTTTTCTTTTTTCTTTTTTTTATTCTGTTTTTTTTTTTTTTTCTTCAAAATCGTCAAAATCACGAGTTAAGATTTTCGCCCGTTGCCCGTTATATTCGTTGGATTAAATGTTAATAAAGGAAAAAAGAAAAATTAATTAGGATGATTCATAGAAACAAATTACAAATTCGAAGCTTTCTATTTCTAAGATATAAATTTGTTGAATCTATTTATGGCAATTCACGTGATACTGTTAATTCACGTTACTTCGAACTTTTATCATTGTGATTTATATAATAACTTTTTTTGAAACTTAACTGGATCAAGTGACAGCGATATTTTGAGGAACAACAATCGTCGTAACAATTGATAAACACGATTTTTTCAACAATTCCATCGTAAAATTCATCGTAATACGTTTACAATAGAACAAATTGAGATTATCGTTAATTTTATTGATAAAAATCGAACAAAGATAATGATCGATGGATAAATCCCAATTGCAATTAAATTAAATTTAATTTGAGCGATATTTGAAGATAGTGCGTAGAAAAAAAGAAAAAGAAAAAGAAAAAAAAAAAAAAGAAAAAAGAATAACTTCTTGATCATCGCGTTATTCTTCCTTCGATTGCGTAAGAGGCCTCCAGAGAAAATACTTGCAAGGTCCGTCCAGGATGTGTCTCTCTTTTCACCGAGAAAAAGCAAGCAAGCAAGCAAGCAAGCAGGCAAATATGCAGACGGGTAGACGGGTAAAAAGAGAGAGCGAGACGGAGAAAGAGAGATGGAAAAAGAGAGAAAGAGAGAGATGGAGATAAAGCAACGTGCTCTCCTCTATAATCCTCCTCCGTGTTAAAGTCTCTTGGCCGCATCGATGCGCCGTATACGAGAGACTCTCCTTTCTATCTATCTCTCTCTCTCTCTCACTCTCTTTTGTCTCCTCTTCTCCTTCGTCTTCTTCGTTTGCTTCTTTTTCGTCCTTTTCTTCTTCTTTTTCTTCTTCTTCTTCTTCTTCTTCTTCTCCTTCGTCTTCTTTTTCTTCTTCTTCTCGGCACTACAATTATCTTCGCGCTCTACTGCTGAGGCGGTAAAAGGTCGGCACTGATGCAATCGACCACGATATACCCGCGGAGGAACACGCGCTTCGGTTACATCGGAGTTGGCCAATTCTTAGGGCACAATTAAGTTTAAGGCTACCACTTGCCTTTAAAGTAGAGGGATACCAACTTACCTTCGTATTCGATCTCTCACCCTTTCTTTTCCCTTTCTTTCCCTCTCCCCTGATTTCCCATCCATTTTTTTTTCTTCTTCTTCTTCTTCTACTTTCATTTCTTCTTCTCCTTCTTCTTCATCTTCTTCTTTTCTTGTCCGTATTTTTTTCATCTTCTTTTTACGTCTTCTTCTACCTGATTTCTTTTTATCTTCCTTTCTTCCTTCCTTTCTTTCTTCTTATTTTCTCGCAAGAACTTAACGGAGGATTCATTATTGAATCTTTCTCTATCTACTATTTGTACCAATTTATAGCGAATTATTTTCTATCCTTCGAGTACTTTCCTTTTTTTCCTTTTCTTTTCTTTTTTTTTCTTTTTTTTTCTTTTTTTTCCCCCTTTTTTTCTAGCGTTAAATAAATCTATTTAAATTTTTCAACAGATCAATTTTCCATTTATATTCGAATTACTTTTTAAAGAAAAGATATCTTTGTCTTTTTCTTCGAGTTCTTTTTTTTTCGTCCTTCGCTGATTTTCAAAAGTAAGAAGCCAGTAATTTTCTGTCTCTTTTCTTTTTTTTTCTTTTTTTTTTTTTAGCAATGGTACATATATATATAAAAAAAAGCTAGATTTCTATATAATTGAAATTTCGAACTAATTCGTAATTGCGTTTA